AAGTAACTTCTAATCATAAAAATTAATTTTCTATATTATTTTAAAGCTTATATTTCCTGCTGGACCCTCAGTGCGTCTGTCTAATTTTCACTAAAGCATTTTTTTGTACTTTCATCTTGGTTTATCCACTTGGAACTAAATGTATATGGAAACCTACTTAGCGTAATCTAATATAGAAATTATTTTTCTATTATTTTTTCGCCTGTCGCAGAGTCGGTGTGTATCTAGAGTAGAGGATACTTTTTTTCTTGTTAATACCTTAGGGAAGAGCAGAGGATTTCCATTAGGTTTAATTCACATTCCATTCAGGAACATCGATCTTGTTTATGTTATTGGAATCGGAGGCTGCGTCTACGGAGGACTTTTTAAAATACAAACTGGTCCACGGTAGCATACTTCATTCGATTAGAAAGTAAATGGGGAAAGTTTTGATTCAATTAGGAGCGTGAGTTGCCAGTTTGCATTTCAGAGAAAAAAATGCAAATGTACCGAGACAGAAAATGCTAAGCAGACTTCAAATTTAATATTTCAGTGTCGCAAAATAACAAGAAAAAAAAGAATCAAACGTACCAACGGTTTTGCACTTCCGAGAAACTACGCGACGATATTGCTTTTTTAAAATGAGGTTAACTTCGTTAGTTTTTAGGGTTCCGTACGTCCCAATAAAAAACGGAACCCTTGTAGGATCACTCGGGTTTGCCCTTGTAGGAAAACTCGGGTTTATCTGCTCGTCTGTCACAGTCAATTTGTTCCGAATCTACTGGGCCGATTAAGTTGAAATTTACTACACATATGACTTTCTGTAACCCAAACACGGACGTACCATCATCATCATCATCATCATCATCGTAAAATCATCAGTCCTAAGACTGGTTGTACACACTCCTCCACTCTTTCCTATCCTGAGCTAATCTTCGCATTTCTCTAAAACTAGAACAACACATATCCTTAACTATTTGCGAACATCTAATCTAGGTCTACCTCTATCATCTCTGACTAGACCTTCGTGCCTGAGAAGATGTCCTACCAACCTATCTCGCTTATTTCTTATTGACTTCCATAGAGCCCTCTGTTCTCTTACTCATTCTAATACCTCTTCATTTCTAACCTTCTCTATCCACGGTATCCTCATCAGTCGTCTGTAACACTACATTTCTAACGCTTGTAACCTGTTTTTTGCGGCGCCCACCGTCCATGTTTCGCACTCGTACAGCGCCGTGCTCCAAACATACACCTTTAACAATCTTTTTCGAATTTCTAAATTAACCGTTCGCGAGTATAGAAGTGACTTCTTTTTATTGAAAACGACTCAACCCAGCGCTATTCTCTGCTTTATATCCTTACTACTGACTTACCTGACTTCCTAGACACTTAAAATCACCCACTTCTTCTAATCTTTCGTATCCTATCTTTATATGTAAGTATTTATATTTGTTACTACTAATATATTTTGAGCGTTCAGTTTGACCAGTAATGTATCGAGACTGCCTGCAACATATTGATGAGGTAAATAAGATCGAAATCGCAATCCGCTTTCGGTTGGTTCGATAAATATCTGATCAAGAATTTAAACGTTATTATAAAGTATAAGTCCCAATGTTCAAATGTTGTGTGTGTGTTATCGATTATCAAGTTGGTACAAATTTTTGCAAGTAGCTCCGCGAAACGTTTGGTGAAAATGCATACGTGATCCGAAGATAAAACGTATTTTCATTGAAACAGCTATCGGAACGAGGTGAACAGTGGATATTGACCTGTTCAAAATTCATGATAGTTAGGTCAAAAGCCGACTACGTTCTCCCTTATGGTATCACGAGTGCAAAAATGGCATACATAAAAGGGAAAAGACCAAAAAGTCTATCGCAAGCCGATTATTTATTCTTCAGTTTTTCGGTCGTATAAAATAATTGAATGAAACAAAAAAGAACTTACTTTTTTTTTTGCTTTNCAAGCACTTCATGCAGCGAAATAAAAAAAAATACTTTTTATATAATCAAATTGATCCAGCAGTAACTCAAGATATGAGTAAGATACGTAACAAAATACAATTAAAATATTGGAGCTGCAAAAAACATCAAACGAAGATAACAGACTAAACGCGTACCTACTATATTGGTAAATGCATATTATTATAGAATAGTAAAATAATATCTTTTATTTCTCTCCATTTGACGACCACTCTTTATAACGCCGAAAAATGTTCACTCCCTTAAGTGTTGTTATATATAGTTTACACTGTATTTTTATGAAGAATCTTGGAAGTTAGTACTTTATTGATGATTTTGATTTTTATTACCACAGCTTTGTTAAATTTCATCAGACGTCAGAAGCAGTTAAACTAAGTTTCTGCTAACAAACACGGCAAAATAATCGGTGCGACTATCTCCTCTCATAATACAATAAGTATTCTAAAACTAGCTGACCGTTACAATTAAAGGGTTACTTTGGGGCATTACTCTGCAACACAACTTTTGCTATTTATTAAAACAGATTGTCCTTGTGTGGCATTGTTGATCTAGTGCATAGATTTTTTTTACTATAGCGACTTACAATTCTTTTGAAATCCTTCGCTATCTAACGCGCAACATCGATAGGACAAGAAAGCTAGAAATCCAAAGAGATACTGCAGTAGCAGTAGAATGCAACGGTATCCTGCACAAAGGTAAAATCCGCTGTTGCACTTGCGACATAAAAAGAACATGTCGCATTTTAGCCGCACTTTAATGGTCACGAATGAGTCTTTTTTCTATTTTTTACCGTCCACACTTATTCTTAACCCATAATAACGGATTGGGAGAGAAGACGCGACTCTCGGATCGGAGGATCACAAAAAAAACACATCAGTCGCAGTTATTTTCGGACCGTGTGCAGTTTCCCGCGTTCAACATGTCTCTCCACGACCAAAATCCCGACTGAAACATGTGCGACTGACTTAAGTCGCACATTGTAAATACACGCATATATATATATATACATTTACACAACGAGAATATCATTCGTACAGTCGTTTTAATGTTCTGGATTCTGGATAAACACGCAATACTCCCACACGCTTTCACCATTATTTGTACCCCGAGTTGGTGTATTTTTAATTCACTAACTGAGGCCGATAAGCTACTGTACCGACTCCCACATGAAGCTTAATTGCATTTTCCATTTTTTATGGCTTTTGCAAAAAGTCATAAAATGTTTTCTTCATAATGGTCCAGTCGGTAGAGAATTTTCCCGACATAAATTATTCGCCGGACTGGAGTTGTTCCTTGTTGTAGCCGGGGAAAACTTAAGCATTTCTGTATAACTTCGAAAAAGTGTGCGTTAACAAATAGGGGAGGCCCAAAGCTGGCAAAAACCAAGTTTTTAGTTCTAGAAGGCAACATAAGCTTTTTAGAAAGATGAGTTTCAAATAAAGATTGTAGAGAAATTAGAAGCCTTTAATTTGAGCCGCGGTCCGATTAATTTTTTCAATTAGTTATTCCAGAATTTCCAAAAAATCGTAATTAGCTTAGGATATAGGAAATAATGAAAGTGCGTATCGAATTAATCAATTAGGATTGACGACCGTATGATGATGATGTTAATTCTGTTTAGATTTATCTTTGAATTGTACCCGAAATCTCTTACTACGTCTGGGCAATTGTCATAGACCTGCTTGGAAATAACCTAAATTTCCAAACTAACAAAAATAAAGGTAATAAAAAGGGTCTAAGCACATGATGAATTTTCAAGTTTACCTACCTATTTTGGAATTTGTTTGATTTCTCAAGGGTTTATGGAATCGTCAAAGGGCACATTTACTTTTAATACCACTTCCAAAAGCCTTTGTCAAAATATCTATATGAATTTATCAGAGGGTTTAAAAATGCATCCTTTTTCTTTCAACTTCGAAAAGAGATCCCCAAAAGTGGACCACAATGATTTTCGCCTGTTGGAAGTATCAAGAATTAAAGAAAGCTGAAAGGGCATATAAATTTCAAAATAGTTTTCGTATTTGTTATATTGACGGACCTAACCCTGCCCTATTTTGAATTCCTATTTGCATTAATTCCTCTATCGTTTTTGTACAGCATTTTAATCTATACCTATGTAATAAAAACTAGATCTCTAAAAAAACTGACTGACTATAATTAAAACCAGCTGATGTTGTTACATCCTCTGATAGTCGCAAATGTAGTTTCCACAAAAGCATGGTACTGTCTACTAAGTACAATTCATCATCATGACGACCTCCCCAAAACTTAAGAGCATTTCTATGTGTTTCTGTGATCAGCCCGTCAAGTAGTTCCTCTGCAAAAAATTTGTATTATTGCGGCATCTGCCTGAAGTTGTACAAGTGTTGGCACAATGTTGTTAGAAAAGCACATCGTTCGACTATATAATAAACAGTCATCCTTAGTCATCAGTTTGGAGTAGGTAAGGATTAAGGATCAAGGATAACGGTAAGATTAAAGTATACCTGAATGAATAAATTAATTCGAAGTGGTCTGTGTTCTGTCGAAACTGCCAGACGCGGATCGCGATTTCGATCTTTTTGAATCTCATCAGCGCGTCGCAGACAGCTCCGAAAGAACACAGACCAACTTTTATCTGCTGTCTTAACAGCGCGTTTTAGAAAATACCACAAATGGCGCGGTAAACGCCATCTGTAGTACGCTGCTACACCTTGACTTTAAGAACGTTTTTGCACAACAGTTTCACGAAAATACATGTATTTTCATGGCAGTAGTTGTTTAATCTTGTTCTACTTTTTTATTCAAGATACCTACTAAAATATTTTGCCGTTTATTCGGTACAGAGACTTCTTAGCGAAAGAGCTTCCAGTTAATGTAAACTCCACGCCTATTCTACACAAACAACAAATTAATATCCCAATTACCGCAATTCCTCATTTTATACAAACACTAGACGCGGTGGCGCGAATATACCTACCCTCACATGCATCGGCACGATGATGTATGTTTAGAGTGAAACTGGGTAATTAATTATGCGCGTGCAAATTACTTTGAGACGAATTTTGCGTTCGCGTTACGTTACACCGATCCTTTACATTCATACATAACCTATATACATGTATTTTATCCGAAATTAATTGCTTTCGTTTAATGGCGTTTGAAAGCACTCTTCACACAAATTAATTCCAACTTTACCTGTACCTATTAGGTAACTATTTGACACTCGTCAAATGTAATTTGTTTCTGACTAACAATGAATGTCACGCTCTTCAACTGACACGATCCGTGACAAATGAACATCGCGGTTTGTTTCTGAACTACAATGAATACTATTTTACGTATCTAATACGTTATTTCATTTTGTAGGCAAATAATTACCCCTTCCGATATCGTAACAGCATCATTTACGCTAAAAGAAACTTACTCTCAGATTTCAATCAATTATCTTTACATCAGAGGGTGAGCAAGATAGTAGTAGGTTTTATTTAGCAATTACAGACAGTATGTTGATTTCAGTCATAGTATTTGACACGTTCCCGGAAAGGTACCAACTGAATAAAAAGTTTTGCGTATTATATCCCAGAAGCTACTAATGTAAAGTACGTAATTTCTCCAAAAGCATCCAGCTTCCTGCATTATGTCAGTATAAAGCATAGAGTCACTTCATTTACTAGTAGAATGCAAAATATATTCTGTACCTATCTATTGAGATCCGCTTAAAAACATGGCGCCGATTAGGGAAAATTTATCGTAGTTCCTATAGTGTACCGTGCAATTTCCAAGTTTTCTAAATTTTGCCACCAGATGGTGTATGCCCATTTGACGGATCTCAATACACTTTGGTGAAGCTACTGAATCTCCCTCGTACACAACAGTTTCGTGCACATAAATTTGATTTATGACCGCCTGCAAAACTTTAGGATAGATCAAAGAAATAGTCCTACTGCATAGAATCCCTTTGTACTTTGGTATTGGTACCTGTCATATGAGCAACTGACTTTTAACATATTTAAATTGTTACTTTTAAATCTTTTTCGTGCTGTAAGTCTTTTTGGGTTTTTAAATTAATTTTTATTTAATTCCATACGAAAGGTAAATAACAATTTTGAGTATGTAATATTTAAAAAGCCCAGAATAGACAGTTTTCTTTAACGTTGCTTTAGAACTGCGTAAACTGAAAATTGGTAAATTTGGCAAAGCCGTTTATCACACCAACATTTCCTATACAAATAATATTACA